GTGTTCCTAATAATCCTTTAGGTGAGTGTATATAAGTCATTTGCAACTGCTATTTTGCATTTATCACCTGTGTCAATGTATTCCCGTAAGAATGCAGTGGCTTTGCATATTTCGTCAATGTTGTCTTCCTCATCACTTTCTGGTTCTGGCCAAATTATCCTTTGAAGGATCAGCTGATAGAAGATCATCTAACATTACCACATATTTGTAAAACAGGTCTTGTTAATTTTTGGTACCACATTGTAATTCTAAGCATTTAGTTATAAAAATGGTTACTATTAATATCATTAACAAACGTAAAACAATCATTGTGCGCGAGTGAACAACTCCTCTGGTTCTAGTATAGCTGCTGCACATCTGGGGAACAGTATTGTTACCAAATCAGGCTGTTTCTTTAACATCCTTAGGACCCCAGTGTCTTTCAACCCAATTCTTATCTGTGCCACCTACCTTTCACGACGGCAACACCTAGTACAAAAAAGATGGCACGAGATATGGATATTATTTAGCTGCACATTCCAAGCAACTGAACGAGCGCACATACTTGTCAATAACATGCACCATGATGGAGAATTTTTTCAGCCAACCACCATCTGTTGGCCACAGTCATCATGGGCAGGTCCCAATGATAGCCAAGTTGTTAACAATTGCTGAGCAAGACGAAGCTAAGTCTTTGTTGTTTTCAAGCTATGAAAGCAAAGTAAACATATAAAAAAACTGATCATGCCTAAAAGACATTAAACAAGGTTGCATTAAATTGATTTAAATACATATGCATTTATAGACAAGCTATCTAAGCAAATGCTGATATAACTATACAAACTGTGTTGAATTCTGTTGACTGAGTATGAAATATCTATAAATTTATTCTACGTTTGCACTTACAAGAGCAACAATGTACATAACATCAAGGTCAGGACAGTCTTTCAACTCCTGGACTGAGGTGTCATCATTGGATCCACAAAGCAGTAGGAAGAGAGACTGACTGAGACCAGTCAGCATTGGCCCCCATTGATGAAAGAATGGCCAATAACTCTCCCCACCACCCTGAAAAGGTCACCATCTAGCAATGTTCTGGATGTAGTGGTCTGCTTCGCCGATGAAAAATATGGTTTTTCCACCACGTGTCTAAGGAGGTATAAAACAAAAACTATGAGTGTTCAACACCACGGCAACATATTGGATTAATATAACATTCCTTAACAGTCTTCAGTCTGAGCAAGAATGTGACTTACCAAGGTCCAGGTGTAGTCCAGTGTGGATCTTATCCAACAGCAAAGAAAAGAAGTGACGTTTAACCCCATCCCCGATCTGCTGTGAAATAAAAACCGATATGCATGTTTGTCAAAAATATTACAATTTATTTTTATTTGAAATGTGTTCTTCCAAAGGAGCATGTCCCTTGATATGATTTTGCACAGTACCGAATGGCCTTGGCCTAGAAGCATCTTCCACAAAAGACACTAAAAACACTAAGCACAGTTGACACAAATATGCAATTTTATACATTTTATACATACCCTTCAAGCGCACTTCAAATGGACAAGTCCAATCAACATTGGTCTGCTTATAGAAGAGCATCGCTGTCTCAGTGCTGTGCATATCTAAAGTTATCAGCAAATTAGGCTTGTCTTCTGCATTCTGCAACATTAAGTCCCAGTACATTTTTGTAGCAGACTGTAAATCAGGCTCCAGTCTCCACTGTTAAAAAATATTACTATGTAATAGTAGCTGTAGTTATATAAAAATATTAACTAATATAAAATATATAAATAATATAAAAAAATAAACTGCTCATCGAACAGAACTTTCAAACAAAAGTTCCATTGACCAGCTGGCTCTGTCAGAAGGTGTGGAAGAAGCAGTGGGGTGAGATGCTTGATGGATGGAGGGTGAGGATGAAGCAGTAGCCTGAGACTCTGGATGGCTGGAGGGTGAGGATGAAGCAGTAGTGAGATTCTGGATGGGTGGAGGGTGAGGATGAAGCAGTAGCCTGAGATTCTGGATGGGTGGAGGGTGAGGATGAAGCAGTGGCCTGAGATTCTGGATGGGTGGAGGGTGAG